CCCCCCCCCCCCCCCCCCCCCCCCCCCCCCCCCCCCCCCCCCCCCCCCCCCCCCCCCCCCCCCGCCGAAGACTCCTGGGGAGGGTGACAGGGGGTCCAATTGTGGTAATGGTAAGAAATGTATAAGACTTAATGGACCGAAACATTTCTTATCATTAAAAATATTTTTCTTCTTTCAACATTATTCTTACCATTTCTTCTTTTAACATTGAAATATCTTGTTTTATTTTATTTATATTATTCCAAGTAGACTTTTCTACAGTAAGAAAACTACTACCTAAACCTCTGGCGAGGAAGGGGAGGGGGCGAGAAACCCCCCACCCCCTGGATCCGCTAATGCTTCATCAAGCAATTGCACTTATCCGCGAGTTCAGAAGGACCACATTAAACACATGTCAGCTTCGAGAAGACCACAGTGTTCTACCGCGATATCTCGGAGAAAAAAATTCGAATGAGTTTGACATATGACGTGGACACCTAGGCCGAACAAAATGTGCACATTTGCGGGAAGATTCACATGACTGGCAAAAATATGCAAATATGCAAAGCAAAATGATCACATATACACATATGAATAACAATTTTCGTGTTATAATTTCACTTTTTGCTAAGTTTCCAGCCGCACCTGGTTACGTCACTGAAATGGTTATTCGATTATTTCATTGCCTAATTTTGGGTGAACAGAGAGTCGCAAGCAAAGGCTCCGATCCGACAAGCTGTTCTCAGCTTAAATCCATGCTAGAGACAGGAAAACAATCAGGACTATCAGCGTGGGCATCCTATGTCAGCAATGTTGCTGAAATGTCCTTACAAACCAAGTGTGAGACTGTGCCAGTGCCGCGGAGAACCTGAAAAGCCGAGCAAGAAGCCTTGTATTTGAGGAAGATACACAGTAGATGTGCTGCCAGTGCTTCTAAACCTGAAGCACAAGGACTGGTGGTGCAGTGGTAAGACGTTGCGTTGAGTCGTGAAGAGGAGTGGTTCGATTCCTTCCCGGTCCAGAACAATTTTCGAGAAAGGGCTTGGTTCATGTCAGCCAGGTTCTTCGATCTTGGATAGCCTTTTGCAATTATTATGGTATTCCTACAGGTACCACTGCAACATCATCCAGCAAAATGAGTATCCTTTCTTGCATATTGGATGACGGTATTCACTTCTCCATCACTCAATTTTGAACCCTCCCTTACGGCTACTTTTTTTAGCACTTCTTGTTTAGGTAAACCAGGAACTTTATTAAATAAAAAAAACATAAATTACTCACTGTAAGAGATGGAGAAACTTGAAAATAGTCCGAGTGATAACACGCACCACAGTAAAAACTTCCTGGTAACGTTGTCGACTGCCCCCTATTTCAAGTAATTGGAGGCGTTTTTGACTTCCTGGCGTATGCGACTACCAATTTGCCATCAAAACGTAGAGGGATTGGTTGTTCCGCTGAAAAAGTCAAACAAAGGTTTTACTTAAATTATTTTTTGTGCAGTTTAAAACGTCTGGAAAAACAAAAAGCTACTCTTAGGTTAATTCGCCAAAACGTTTGAATCGTACGACGAATGTCACATTAGAGCCACATTCTGGTGTGACCGACACATCACCTCTCCATACTGATTTTGCGTCCGTTGCATCCATCGATAGTTTTTTCGATTCGCCAAACAACACGAAACCGACCTCAAAACTATCGCCTGAATGTGCCCTGTGAATTTCTCGTTTCACACTTTTGAATTTACTTAATTATTCAAGAATAATGTTTTTTTTCAAAGAAAAAACGACATTTGGGAAAGATTTTATTAAAATTAAATTTAAAGTACGAAACAGGAATGTTTCAGTCCATCAAGTCGTATATATTCGTATTTAGCAAAAAAAATTCGTGGACTACTAGCAGAAGTTGGGACCTACTGGCCTTGACAGCTTGTCTTGCCTCTTCCTTATTTCTCTTTGCCCTGTTTTTACCCCAAATAGTTTCATTTGTAAATAGATT